CGACCTAAGAAGTATTGGGGAGAGGTGATCAGACAGGATATGGCGCGACTTAGGATTACTGAGGACATGACCTTTGACAGAGAATTATGGAGGTCGAGCATTAAGGTTGTAGGTTAGGGAAAGTTGTGAATATTTCTACAGCACAATAGAGTGAGACTAGCCAGTTAGGAGTTAGACTAAGAATGTCATTGGTCGTCTATTGATGCAGGGCTTTACCTGCTAGTTTTACTATACCAGCCATCTATTTCGTATTTCGTGTTCTGTATTTCATATCTCTTATATTGCTGTTATTTTATTATGCATTTTTATGGTACTAATATATCGGCTCCTGTTGCTTTTTTTAGCCGAAGGTCTCCTGGAAACAGTCTCTCTACCCTTCGGGATAGGGGTAAGGTCTGCGTACATATTACCCTCCCCAGACCCCACCTGTGGAATTATACTGGGTCGTCGTTGTTGTTGTTGTTGTCCTGATTCAGAAAGCTAGCGCCTACTTTACCTAAATTGAGTCACATATATAATTGCTAATTATTTCTATACTGAGAAAGACAACTTATTGAATTATTGATGGGTGAAAAGCCGGTGGAGAAGTTTTATATACATCATGTCGACCACATCATGTAGTATCACCCTTTAGCCTAACTTCTACTTTTGCTCACCCCCCCCCCCTAGGGGTAGAAACTAGTTCTATGTCCCTTACTACTTGTAATAGCAGTATTATGGGGGAGCCCACTGTGCCCCCCACCCCCTATATGCTTCCTACGTAATGCAATAGGTTATCCTTTTAAACCAAAAAAAAATAAAAATTCTAACTCCGTATAAAATTCATGAAAAGTATTTTCAGACTAACGGCAACATATCTTTAATTAATGACGTTACAAATTGAAGACTTATTGCCATCCTTTATAACTTCAATTGTATTGTCATACTTTTTATAACAGTTTGAAAAGAATATTTAGTTTTCATCTTTTAATACATGAAATTAGTGGAAGAAACGAACAAATGAAAAATACTTTTCTCCGTTTATTTTTAATTTCCTGCATATAGGTGGTTTGAGTTTTGAATTATTGGCTAAATATAAATTTGGAATGATGAACCGTTTAGTAGTATATGATACGACTATTTCACGCGCACCTTTATTTTATATATATACACACATATTCTCAATATGTTATATACAATTCTATATATTTTTCGACTATCGAATTTAAATAATTTCTAGCACAAACTAAAAGTGAAAAAAAAACATAAATTAATATAATTCGGTGTAAATATGACTTATCGAGTATGCATAAGTTTTCGGGAAAAGGTGGATGAGGATGTTAAGATGGATATGTGGGCATACCCGGTTCGATAATGAAGTTATTTGGGAAAAAATGGGAGTGGCCCCTGTGGAGGATAAGATGCGGGAGGTGAGACTGAGATGATTCGGGAATATTTAGAGGAGAAGTACAGAAGCCCCAGTTGAAAGATGAGAGAAGCTAGCCTCGGTGGATAGCAGGAGGGATAGAGGTAAGCTAAGAAATCTTAGGGAGAATTAGGCGGGACATGACGCAATTGAAGTTGATTGAGGACATGCCCTTAGGAGGGTGTGAAGGTCAAAGATTAGGGTAGAAGATTTTTAGGTAGTCGAGAGTTTCTCTTGGTCTTACTCAGTTCACTAGCATTAGTGTTAGTATGATATCTTTTTATTCATAAATTGCTATTACTACCCAGAGTTTAACTGCATTCTTGGATTCGATCTTATTTTATCTTGCTGTTATTCTTACTTGTTGAAATTACCTTTTCTTTTTTAGTCGTTCTAGCCGAAAGTATATCAGAAATAGCCTTTCTGCCCTTCCAAGGGTAGGAGTAAGACTGTGTACATCTTAGCCTCCCCAGACCTCACTTGTAGAAAAATACTATTTTTTTTTTGTTATTGAGTATGCATACGTTTTGTATGATTAATAGGCAAAAAGGAAAATATCAACTATGTCCATTTATAAGTAGCTTATTACAAAAATTGGCCAATTCATAAAAAAATTATTAATATTAGCCAAATATATAGATATTTGATCAGTAAATTCTTAAAAAAAACTTTCTCTCTCTACCTTCACTCGTACTCTCAGCGCATGTTAGCTAAGCATACGCCGGTGTGGCCATGGCAGGAGCGAGAGGTCGAAGATGAGGAAGGGGACGAGGACGACCTAGGAAAATACCTATAGTAGCTTTTGGGAGCTCAGTGAGAGCTCGAGTTCAAGGAGATGGAACACCTAAGACATCAACAATGGCTTCCCCTGTGCAATTGGCTGAGGAGATTAGATCTGTGGAGAAAGGATCTACATTTACTACTGAAGGGATACCAAAGAAGCTGGGAATGACGAAATCTATGAAGACTAATACAGAGGTGATACCACAGAGAACTACATAGGTGAAGACAGTTCAAGGCAATGAAACAGTAATTCTAGTGAAAACTAATGAAACAATGATTCCAGTGCAGAAATCAGTTGAGAGAGCAGCATAAGCAGCAAATCCGGTGGGTGCATGGATAAAACTCTTCAAAGGGAATAGATCTGCAACTAATGGCATGTCACTATCCTATATCCCATCATAAATTATTAATGGTCAAAGTATGGTGCAACTAGAAGCGGAGGAAGTAGAACCAGAAGAAGAAAAGTGGAAAAGTGCTCTAATTGCTTATATAATTAGAGAAACCCCTGGGTACAATACTATGAATAGGTATATCAGCCAAAATTGGCTGAATATAGATACATCAGGTCTGTATTTGCATGATGAGGGATATTATGTGGTCTAATTCAATTCTATTACTGATATACATGATGTTTATTATGCTGGACCATACACTATTAGTAATCGACCCATAATTTTGAAACCATGGTCAGTAGACTTTGATTTAGCAAAAAATTCCCTACTGAGATTCCACTGTGGGTCAAATTTCCTAATTTGCCTATGAATTGCTGGGGCAGTAATTCTCTGAGTAGAATAACAAATGTATTAGTAAATTTTGTGTTTGCAGATGAATGTACCACCAAGCAAACAAGGATATCCTTTGCGAGAATGTTGGTGGAAATAAATGTTAGTCGCCCACTTCCTGATGAAATTACAGTGATTGATCCAAAAGAAAAATATTTCTAACAACATGTGACATATGATTAGAAACCTGATTTCTGTGGAGTGTGTCAAGTAGTTGGGCACAAATGTAGGTAAAAGGAGAAAGGGGATAATCAAAAGGATGCAACATGCAAGAAAGATGAACAACAAAGATGTCACACAAGAATGGAGATACAAAGGTCCTATGCAAACAACTCTAAAAATTGGAGAGCAAGTAGAGCTTACCGAGGAAAACAAGCAATAGAGCCATCAATTAAATGAGGAGAAGAGTGTTACTCCTACTAGCAGAACAGAAGAGCAAGTAGACAAGAGTAGAGGGAAAGCTGTTGCAAGTCTAGAATTCAATCTTCAAAATTTTCCCATACTATGTTCTGTGCCAACAAAAAATGATTTTGGAGTTCTACATGGAGTTCATAGTGAAGATCAAGTCCCGCCTCTAGATAGAGAGGGGGGAGGATCCAAAACTCTATAATGAATTGGTTAATTTGGAATGTTAAGGGAATAAATAAGAGGTATAAGCAAAAGGAATTGAGGAATTATTTGAAAACAAAAAAAATTAGATAAGCAGGACTCATAGAAACAAGAACAAAGGAGCAGAATTCAAAGAAGATCATCAACAAAATAGTAACTAATTGGGAGATGTATGATAACTACCAAGCTGCAGTAAATGGAAGAATTTGGTTGGTCTGGGATCCATAATGGTATGAAGTTAGAATGGTGAGAGTTGAAGCCCAAATATTGCATTGTGAAGTCACAAGTAAAATAGGGGATATCAACTGCTATCTTACTATAGTGTATGGTTTTAACACTGTGGAGCACATGAGAGCACTATGGGAGAACCTGAAAGATGTAGTTGTGGGAATGAACAAACCATGGCTAGTAGCTGGAGATTTTAATGCAGTAATGTATCAAGATGATAGGATCTTTGGCAATCCAATCACTTATACTGAAATTAAGCAATATTCTGAGTGCATGCATGAACTATTTAGAACAGAAGTCCATTGGAGAGGAGATTATTATACATGGTCAAACAAGCAACAGAATAATGACAGAATATATAGCAAGATAGATAGGGCCTTTGGCAATCATGAATGGATGATGACATGGGGGCATTTGATAATGCAATATGATGAGACTTTCATTCCTAACCATGCACCTATGTTGTTAACAATGGTGTCTTCCAACAACAGCATCAAAGTTCCTTTCAAAATTTTCAATATATGGGTTGAGCATAAGGAATTCTTGGAGATAGTAAAGAAGGCCTGGCAGCAGACACAATCCACAAGTAAGATGAAGAATATATGGATGAAGTTGAAGAGTCTCAAACCAGTATTAAGGAGACCCAATAGTTTTACATATTGGGGTTTTATCGTATTGACTTTAACTTTGTTAGCTAGTGCAATTTTATCCAAAGAGAAGAAAATACCAAAAATAATTTTTTTTTAAAGTTTAGTATAAGATTTTTGATAATTAGTATTAAATGATTTTGCTTTCATATATATATATATATATATATATATATATTTGGTGCAGGTACATAGCTAATTATTGGTATGTTACTTTCTTTACTTTTGATTTTATTTCAAAAAAAAAAAAACCATATGACATGAAGACACATCATCACAAATGGACAAAATCCTATAACAACACAACATGCACAATTCTCACTTGCACTACATATTCACGTTGCATTCATCTGAGCATTCATTTTTAATTATCTTTGGATCACAATTGTATAGTATTAATTTTTCTATACACTACATGACACACACAATTTTGGGACCACACGGTTTGGCTCAGATTTCTAACTTCTTCCCCAAGAATATTCCAGGGACGGGGGAACAATAAGGGGACTCACTTTTTAGTATTTATAAAAGGGGGTGGGACAATTCTTAGAAAAGGGACATAAGAGAAAAATAGGGGAAAGAAAAGGGAAGGAACCCTGAAAACTCTTCTTTTTCTACACAAGGAACACAGCCGCAAGACCCCTGGAGGACCTTCTTCTTCACGGCCGACTCCCTTTCTTTCTCTCTCTCTCACAGCCAAACAACCACCCAAAGAACCCCACCCCCAGTCGTGACCTTCTTTTTCAACCAAGGAACACCCTTAATAGATACCAAAAACCCTAGACCCTTAAAAACAAGTCGCCGCTGCCATCTCCGGCGAGACCTCCATCTCCGCCGCATCTTCCTCATCTCTTCAAATCCGGCCACCACCAACAACCTTTCTCATCCACACCTAGCAGCGGAACTCAACAGAACCATCGTTGCTTCTTCTTCTTTCCCATTCTCAGCAGCCGCACAACCTAACAGGAGGAGAGTCAGTCCATGAAACTCTATTAAAATAACCTCCTGAAACTCTATGAAAATCTACTATAGAGCAGCCCCAAAAATACTAAAACAGATCCAACATCAGTCTCGAGCAAAGAGGTTCGAACTGGTTGAGGTTCGTCGAAGTCGCCGGCGCGGTTCACTTTTCTAGTCAGCGGTAAGCAGTAGGATTCTCTCGAAGTTTCTCTGTTAACATTAGAAATTTGCTCTCCGTGAGGTCCAATCTCTTTATCTTTTCTTAAATCCCTCATGTGATTTTTTGTTGATATGTTTCTGATATTGTTATCTTTTTGAAGTAATATGAAGTTCTGTGCATGTGCCATTATAGAAATTTGGGGCTTATCTTAATTAACGTGATTTAACTTTTATGGCTTCATTCATCAATTAAATGAAAGATTGAACTACTGAGTTAAGTTGGATAAAGGGAGCCATGAGATTTGAAATATAAAGGAAATAGAGTTGGGTTAATGTGACGTGATAATATTTCTGTTTCATTATTGCTAGTTTTTATTGACCGCTAGTAGCATGTTTAGGCCGACCACACTCGGGTAGGCAAATCGTAGGTTGCTTCTTTTGTTTTATTCGAGGCGAGAGGTCGTTTCCTTTAGTTTATTATTCGGGGAATGCCCTGCACAATTTGTATATATTTTATCCGTGGTATGCCCCGAAGTATTTGTATTTAGAGGCCGAAAGTAGAACTCGTAGTATTTTTATTTTAATTTTATTTTTCTTTTATTAGGTGGGAACGACCTCGAGCCTCTTGTTTGTTCATTTTTCTTTTCTCTGTTTATTTTTGCCTCATTTGAATATTTTAAAAGCCAACTAGATTGAGTACGCAACCGTACTAGTTATGGCGCTCGGGAAATGCCTAACACCTTCTCCCCGAGTCAAATAAACCCCCTTACCCTAGTCTCTGATGCAAACTGGTTTAAGAGTCAAATGTGTTTTGAAGGAAAATTGTTATTTTGAAAATGGTGACCTGGCACACCGAAACTAATGTCAGGTGGCGTCTCTGAAAAATCCTTCGAAATACAACATTTTTGTCACCTTTCAAAATTAAAAACCCTTTTTGAGCTTCAAAATTCTTTTTTATCTTTAAAGAGGGTTTAGTGAGGTTAAAAAAAAGGGTGTGACAGCTTTAGCGACTCTGCTGGGGAGTTGCAAGTTCGAGCTGGTACTTGATCTTGTTGGCTTTTAGGATATTTGATTGAGGTGTTTGTTTTATTTATTTGCTTTATTTATTTAGTTTGTTTGTCTTATTTCCTTATTTTGTTGGTTATTTGCTTATCGCTTTTCTTTATGTGTTACTGCTTTATAGACTGTCATCATTTGCATAACCAGGGGTCTTCTTTCTGCAGCAAGTCTTCCGGATTACGTTTGAGCGTACACGGCCTTTTTGTGAGTCACCCGTGTTTAGGGGGTGGGAGCATGGAGTGGGCGGACAGCTAGAGCAGCCGCCATCGACCACATGCCGCCCCGAATTGCCTTGTCTAGTGAACCCCAAACTTAGGTCAGCCTTTAGGTCATGCTTATTTGTATCATGCTTATTTGCATCATGTCATTTACACTTAGCAGGGCTCGGTCCCAGGCACTGTGTTCCTTTATATGAGGCCTATTCAAATTTTGTCAAAACGGGCCCGTGGCCCAAAAAGACATTCAATCATCCCTGTGCGATACATGTTGCATCTTTGAGGGTAGATAGGTCATTTGGCGGACTGATGTTTGGGAAAGAGGGTGAAATATAAAATGAAGCAAGTAGGGTCCAGTTATGATTTTCTTTCACAACTTTTTCAAGAAAAAGACCCAAAAAATTAAAAATTAAAAAAAAATCCAAAAAGATTTTGCACTTTCCCATCTATTTTCAAAAATAAAAAGAAAATCCAAAAGATTTTTACATTTTCCATAATTTTTCAAAAAGACAAAATATAGTTCTTCCAAATTAGTTGCATTTTTTTTAAAAATCTTTCTCCCATGTCCAATCTGCCCGAACTACGCATACCTGATTCTCATTTTTCGAGGCAGGATACGTAGACAGCCCACATAGAGTCCGGTCTTCCTAGTAAGTCTTAGATTCTTGACTTCGCAGGGTCTTAACCAAATCTTGCATGTTTAGCCACATTTGGCCACATCGGCCGTTTTTGCAAAATAGGGCTATTTTCTCAAAGAAGTTTACCCTGTCTTAGAGCCCTAAGTCTACAACAAGGTGTCCTCTTTGTTTAAGTTCTATTCCTGTTGAATTTGCATGCATAGCCATTTTTGGCCACATAGGCCATTTTTGCAAAATGGGGTCATTTTTGCAAAGTAACTTTAGATGTTGTGATTCCCTCATGTGTAAGGCCATATAGGCCTTGATGAGGTGTTTCCTTATTGTGTTTTGCACTTTTAGTCACTGTTGACTACTTAAGCCTTCTTGCAAAAACAACCTCATTTATGACTTGAATGTGTCCAATAGGATGTATTATGGCCTCAAATAGTGTCTCGAATACCTAATTATATTTGGTCTTATTTTTCTCATTCATGCATGGATCCATATACCAGAGCTCGAACATGACAGATATCCCAAGGCCATTGCATTTGGGAGCTTGTTTGAAGAGACTCTTTATATTTTGAGTATGTTTCCATGTTTCCTTTTATTTTCTAGTCTTGTACTAGTAGTTTTGAGTTTTTTAGGTGGTGTAAGAGTTGTCAAGTCTTTTTCATCGTACTTCCCATTTGTATTTGAAAAAAGATAGTTATAAATGGAAATCCAAAAAGATTTTTTGTTTTTAGCTTATTTTGTTCATTACTTTTCCAGAACTACGCTTGATCTGATTCATGGGGGACATGATACGTAGGCAACCTACATAGGGTTCGATCGAATCATTATTAAAAAAAAGAGAGAAAAAAAGGAAAAAAAAAGAAGAAATCGTGGAAGTGAGAAGTGAGATGAAAGAAAAGAGTGTTTATCAGAAAGAAACGAGAGGAAAGAAAAGAGAAGATTGAAATGAACAAAATTGGGATGATTCCAAATGACCTTTTGACACTCGAAGTCACTCTAGAACTGCTAATTGTTGCTAGGTGCATTGTACGCAATGTGATATTTCTATCTGATAAATGTCCTAACGCTAACATGTTTGCTTTGTTTTGCTCTTTTTGTTACTTTCATTGTTATCATAACAGAGGGTGGTTAGTTTGTGGTACTTTGGTGATTCATCCATACAGTACAAGGTCAAAGATCAAGGTAGCCATGGCTAGCAAAGACTTGGACATAGGAGTTGTTGACCCCTCGAGGGAGATTGTGGAGTCAAAATCTGAATTGAAAGAGGGGGGTCCAAAGGCTGAAACAACAAATGTCCGAAATGTGTCAAGCATGGGTCAATGGTCAAGGACCACCCCTTTCTTATATTTTCCCAGACTTTACACCCATATCGACTACTACCACTCCGATTTCATTGTCTGATCAATTCTATCCATTTAGGTTCAGTCTTTATCCCAATTGTACGACTATAGCTGGAATTTATATTGTGCACCCCTAAAGTGTGCCATTGACAACCAATCAGACAACCACTATAGTTATGCCTATCTCTACTATCCCACGGCCGACGGTGGTGCAGAGGAAAACTCATGAGTCATAATTTGCTACCCAACAAGAACAATACCACTCTCTTGAGTATCACTCTTACCTATTTGATCTTCCTACAAAGATTGAGAAGCCTACCCGAAAGATAGCACCGGAAGAAATAACCCAAAGACTAAAAGGTTTAGAACAACATTCGAAAAACATACAAGGGCTGGCAGGTTAGAAGAGTATTGTCTTCAAGGATCTATGTATGTTCCCCGATGTTCGTTGCCACTTGGTTTCAAGACTCCCAAATTTGAAAAGTATGATGGACATGGAGACCCTATAGCCCACTTGAAAAAGTATTGCAATCAACTAAAAGGTACGGGAGGAAATGAATAATTACTGATGGTTTATTTTGGGGAAAGCCTTACAAATGTAGCCTCCGAATGGTTTATGGGTCAAAACTCATCTTGCTGGTATGTCTGGGATGACATGGCCCAGGACTTTGTCAAACAGTTCCAATATAACATTGACCTCGCCCCAGACCATAATTCCCTTTCAAATCTGAAGAAGAAACCAATTGAAAGTTTCAAGGAATATGCCATTAAATGGAGAGAACAAGTAGCTAGAGTTAAGCCACCCATGGATGACCACGAGCTAATCACTGTCTTCCTTCAGGCTCAAGAGCCTGATTACTTTCAAAACATGATGTTCGCAGTTGGCAAATCATTATCGGAAGCAATCAAAATGGGAGAAATAGTGGAGAATGGCCTTAAGACAGGCAAAATTATAAGTCAAGCAGCTCTCAAAGCTGCAACTCAGGTTGTCCAAATTAAATCTGGTAATTTTAGTGGCACGAATGAGAAGGTTGAAGAAATCATGATGACATCAGGGTCGAGAAGAGGTCCTAGAACAACATCTCGAAGGTATGACCAGCCTCGTTTGTTTTTTGACGATTCCCCTGAGAACCCACAATACTCTGTTGCTCCACCCTAGTATGTTGTCCAGCCACCAAGACACCCCAGAAGGCGAACGCCAGCACCACAAAATCTCCACTAACCTCCATAGAATTTTCAAGTGCCCCATAACCCACATCCAAGCCAGGGGTATAGAGGTAAACAAAGGTTGAAAGATAATTTTACAGCGATAGGAGAGTTTTATATAAGCTTTTTTGAGAAATTAAAGCATTATGACCTGATTGCACCTATTCCTCCGAATCATGTGGACCCGCGTGCAAGAATCTTTGACCCTTATAAAATGTGTGAATACCATTCCAATGCCCAGGGGCACAATGTTGAAAGTTGTCGGGATTGTAAGCACGTGATTTTTGCCCTATATGAGAATTACTCCCAAAAAATTCAAAATAAAATGATTTTTCTTGGTGTCCAATTTTGAGAATTTTTGTGACATTTTTGGATAATTATTTGTATTTGTCTGTGCATGTTTATTTGCTAAATTAATAAAAAATACAAAAATATGTCGCATTTTGCTTGTAGGATTTAATTATACAATTGTTAGTAATTAAGTTTGTTTTACAAAAATTAAAAATTAAAAAAATAGGCATCTTTTGCATTTTTAGCATTTAATGTCCAAATATACAATTTTATG